CGAAACCCAAATTAGCGTCATTAAGGGAATTGCGCGACAGTTGCTATGAATTCGAACAACTGCCATATTCTGTTGAAGATATCTCTCCAAGAGAAGTTATGCCAGTGTTAGCTGAAGAAAACGTCAGCTCACAATTGGCAGAGCCAGTCCAAACTGCGACTACGAGGGGATCCTCCGGACATGGAACGAACTCGTCAACGAAGCGACAAACTCCTGACAGAAGGGAGTCACAAAATAAACTCCTGGCGTGCCCTTTCCACATAATGGATCGCCGGAAGTTTCACACTTGTTTCGGGTACCAACTGAAGCGGATAAAAGATGTAAAGCAACACATATTTCGAAAGCACGTCAGGACACCCAATCTTACCGAGAAACAGGTTATGGAGCTAAGGAATTACCAGAGCAGGGGAAGGCCTCTTGAAGAGCAGTGGTTTGATATGTGGAATATAATATTCCCGGGTGCTCAAAAGCCCAAGTCTGTTTATGTTGGGAGCAGATTGAGTGAAATAGTGCCGATGCTTCGTAGACTATGGAACAAGCGCCGTTCCGAGATCATCTCCGACGTTGCTCAGACTAGTTTCCTTGACACCTTACCCGGAAGCTTTGTTGACGATGTCATGGGATTAGTTTTCGATCGGTTCGAGGAAGAAACTGCAACTATTTCGACTGATTTCAGGTCAATGGAGCGCAAAGTTGCCTACGAAAAGCCTTGCACTACACCGGCGGAACCCCGCCAAAGTCTCATCGATCAGATGATGATAGGAGACACAGATTGCAACACATCCAGTAACCTTGCTGGAACCACGTTCACAGAGATGGGGAATGACTGTAATTTTGGTGATACGTTTTTGAGATCGCAAGATAGTGATCCACTAATATCTGACGACCACTACAGTCATTATTCGATATTTGGATCTGAGGAGAGAGACTTGGCCAACCTCTTCGCGGGATAAAGGGGTCGGTGATAGAGGAAGGGAAAGGACGAGCTTTTGGGTCCTGAGGAATCTCAACAACATTTTGGCGTAAACCTTTAGAATTGCTATGGTTTATCATGTGCATATAAAATAAGTCATGGCACCTGACGCAATTGTTCAGCCGATGAAGATGTTCTGGGCGATATGGGCTATTTGTATAGCTGCCTACAATAACGTAGAAGCGATGCAGAGACATCGGGAGAAATTTTGACGTCAATATTCAGCCCAAACCTATGGTCGCCTGGGCGAAATGTTTTGTGGCATTGCACAGCCGTTGATACCCAAATGACTAGGCTTCGGGACTTGGACGGCTTAGTTTCACAAATCGTCTTCGAGCAGGCTCTCGGTGAAAGGCTTCTTACGATCGTTGAGACGGCCTCATCAACTGTATTTGAAACCCTTATAGCAATATGGAATTTCATAGGAAACTAGGACATTTGCCCAATAAGGTTGTCTCTTCCAATATGATAAACTGCCCATCTTAAGGCAATGTGTTACGCCTTGGATTGGGGGCAAGGCTCTGATTGGCGCGCCGCTGCGCAGGTGTATGGGGCGCCTCAGCCATCCAAGTTAGCTTGCCATTTCTTCTTGCTTCTTCGCCTCCCATTTTTACTACCATTTACTTCGCCAGGGAGACCTATTCTATCACTCACGAGCCTCAAGTAGCATATCCTTTGCCGTGCTTAATCAATAATCTCCTACAAAGATTTTACCTCACATCTCATGACCTGGATGCTGCAGAGCCGCTACAATGAGACTCATGAACACGTCAACATGGAAGCTGAAGATGTTTCACGAGGCTCTGTGTATCCCGCCTTACGCAACCCTGTCACATTGTTGGGAGACCGACGAGGTTCTGTTTACCGATATGACCAACGTTGAATCGGCGTCTCAGAAGTTGGGGTTCGCAAAGATTAAAGGCGCTTGTCTTGTCGCTGCTACTTTAGGTATACATTGGATTTGGATCAATACAGTGTGTATCGATAAATCGTCGAGTGCAGAGCTCACGGAAGCTATCAACTCAAATTTCCAATGGTATCAGAACTGTCAGATATGCCTGGTGTATCTGAGCGACTTCCAAGGCGATCCTAATGCAATGGACGATTTGGAATCTGAGCTCGCCAAATGTAAATGGATGAAACGTTCATGGACTCTCCAGGAACTTGTTGCTCCGAAAGCTGCTCGATTCTATAACCGCCACTGGAGCGTAATAGGCACTAAACAATCGTTATTGCCACTCCTCTCGAATATCACGAAAGTTGATCAAGACGTAATAGCAGATGTAGAATGTCTATCCGGCTATTCTATTGGGAGACGAATGGCCTGGGCGGCTGGCCGCTCAGCGTCTCGTACCGAGGATATCGCTTACTCTCTTCTGGGCATATTCAAAATCAGTATGCCCATCATTTACGGCGAGGGTGGAAGGTCATTTGCACGTCTACAAGAGGAGATTTTAAAAGATACGGATGATGCATCGCTTTTCGCATGGCAAGCAAGCAGCGATCAACAGTACCGAGGCATATTAGCCACTTCTCCTTCGGAGTTTAGCCATTTTTCCACACGATCCGTCGTGGGACCTCTTCGATATCGAGGAACCGTATATGCAAGCTCGACCGGAATTACGATTGAAAGCGATTTTGCATTAAACAGAACAAGTAACACCATTATATTCGGATTCCACGGTACCATCCGAGATTGTGATGAGATTTCATATCTCGGCATACTGCTTCGGCCTTGGAATGGTCATTTTGTGCGGTACTCTCCACAAACGATCATAGAATTGCCCGGCTTGCCGGGTAGGACAGCGATGAGAATTCGAGCCAAGCGTGACGTGGATTACAGACTCTCGAATAGTATCACTGAGAAAATAGTGCAAGAAGAGAGCAAACAGTCAAATCTGTGGCCTCAAAAGCGAACCCTCAGTGGGAATCTCTCAACGGGTGGATCTGACGTCGACTACATTTATCCGTCTTCCTTTGCTCTATGCCAGTCACCCACCAGATCATTGTCCTTCGACCAAACGTTTAGTCATCGAAATAGCTTGTATCTGGATAACGAACCGGTATGGTCAGGATCTGGATCCCAGGCAACGACTAGCATTGCACCTCCATCTGAGTTGAATATAGACCAATTGGTGGACCTACAGAACGGCTGTTCTCAATTTCAGAATGACGGTTTTCCCATATGCGGAAGTCTCAAACCCGAATTGGAACCTGATCTCGGTAGTGGAAACCTGAATATTTCGTCGAATTCTTGCGAGACAACTGTCCAATGCGATGACGATAGCGATGACGATATGCACCTTTTCACTTCATTGCCAGCGGAAGCTCCGATACTAGATCCAACTCATGTACTCCTACGGTTCAAAGAAGAACTGACCGAATATGGACTGGCCGAGTTCTCAACTTGTATAGCTCAAGATAATGCTTCTGGTAACAAACGCACGAGAGACAGCATTCTGTACTCCATGCGTAAGCGCCTCAAACCAGACGTGGACACGCACCTTGAAGTTGAACATTTGACGGATTCTGAAGACGATCAGGTAGTTTTTGTGAATAATGTTCAAATTAAGGAGGCGGTTGCTTTTGCGTGTCCATATTTTGCAAGAGACCCACGGCTGCACCAAGACTGCCTGAAGCGCGTATACCTTCAAAACATCGAAGACGTGAAGAAGCATCTTTGGGCTGCACATCGTCTACCTCACTTTTGCCCAAAATGCCAACAGAAATTCGATACCGCTTCCGCATGTGATCAGCATATTAGACAACGACGATGTGCCGTGCAGCAATCCCTCGATATACACGGTATTTCTGAGGATCAAGTCAAGATGCTTGCAAAGCGGTTTGACAGAGGCATGTCTGCAGTGGAGCAGTGGTTTTCAGTCTGGGATATTGTATTCCCTGGTATTACACGCCCCAAAGATGCCTATCTTTCCGGAGAGATCGAAACTTTGGTCTGCATTCTTCGTGATTATTGGGAACGGAAAGGAAAGCGAGTGATTTCACGGTTCGTGAAGCTCAAGGGGTTGTGGGAGTCAATGATGTTGCGAAATGAGGAACGGGATCTCGAGGCACTCTATGCTCTTGTCCTAGACCAGATGGTCGACAAAGTGATTGACAGCTCTTCGGACTCAGAAAGTAACGGCACACAACCAACTGAGAAAGTTGGTGAGATTTTGAGCATGTTGCGCACTATTTACTCTCGATTCCTCTAGTACTTTCATTCAATTTGGTAGCCATATAGTGTATTCTTTACTAACTTGGCATTTTTCGTGGTCCGTGAGAACGACCCTATTTCAAGGAGTCAAAATTTCATGCCACTTCCATCATGGAAGTCCCTTGCAAATCTTAGTCCTGATCATTCTCGCCATGCAATGTGTGTAACGAAGCTCACTAGATATTGGTAATGGGAATACAAAGGATTTTGGAGATCATGAGCGTGTTGAAGTGTATTTGTTGTGAGGACCAGGATCTCAAGACTAAACGTTCACAAAGGAATAGGAACCCCGAGCTCAGCTGATGAGAGTGACTCAACGTATATTGACAGGTATACCATAAAAGAGACGGCATTAATGCTATACTATAGTATTCAGAATATCCTCACATCTCCATTAAATTAAGATTGATTTCCATTTCACAAAGGCCAAATTAATAGGGAGGAATCAGTTATTTCATAGTATTATCTAGCCAAGTATACACAGCCTATTTCTTCGATAGTAGGCGTCTCGATTCTGGGAATAAAGACTATCTTATCGACATGAAGCTACGCTATTCCTTATACAAGTGCGGAGATATTTATGTCCCTTCAGGAAACTCCAGTGGAAAGCACGCCCTGCTGATAATTTGGTGTTCTTGAAACATTGGGCCTAAATTGCTATTTTGAATGGCTAAGCATTGATGCATGCGAAATGTGTCTCATCTAGACCCCTTGAGCCACAAGTTGAGGGTGGCCTTTGTACAATCATCATAATCGCGCCAATCACATGCAATCTTTTGTCGCTGCCAAATATATGAAATATGTCCTGGATCAACTAGAGCCGTTCACCTTAATAGGTGTCCTCTCCTCCACCATATTCGCTACGGCATGGCCAAGGTCGGAGTCCATTGCTCGGAAACCCTCGAGAACACCGTCTCGGTCGCCTTGAGCCAGCTCCTGGCTCATCTTGGCCTTACCCTCGAGCCTGTCGATCTCGATTTCGATGCCGATGATGGCTTTCCTGAGAAGCTCGATATACTTCTCTGGAGCCTCTGAGATCTTCCAAGGTGAGGGCTTCCCGTCGGTGCCGGTATAGCCCATTATGCGTCTGTCACTCTGATCTGAGAGCTCTCCAAGCTGCTTCATCAAAAAGCTGGATGACTCCTCAGATGTATGATCAAGATAGATCTTGGCGCGGCCGTATGCTTGTACGGCAGCATAGTTCCAGGTCCCCACTACCTTGCCAGTCGTAGGTTTGGTTTCAACGTAAAACTTGGGTGTGACGTAGTGGTGGACTTGAGAGGTGAAGAGAACCAGGACCTCCTGTTCAAGGAAAGAAGCTGAGGAGTCGCTGGTCCGTGACTTTATTGAGTCGATCATGGCCTTACTCTGTGGGTTTGCTCTCGCAAGATGACCCCTCAATCGGCCCAGATCTTCCTCATTTGACTCGTCGTCGACATCCAGGACCCAGGGGATGTGAGTAGACTGAATAAGAGGGTAGGTTGCTGATGGGATGGCTGTTGTCAAGACACCAAGTGGGTTATCGCGTATAAGTTGGCGCAAAGCTGCAATGCTCGTTTCTGCGTGGACAGCACGGAGATACATCTTGGATTTTTGGAGTGTCTCTAACTTCAAGTTGCAGTAGTTTCCAGTTTGAAGTGAATATATTATTCTTAAAGAACAAGGAATACTTCCCGCGGAAGGCCGGACAGGATCAGATAAGTAATGAGTCTTCTGCAAGTGGACTTTGCAATGTGGGCCATGTTCCGCCCTGTGGGTGACAGCGTGCGATGTCGCTATTGCTCGGCGTTGACTGGCTGCTTGGTGCTCTAGAGCGGGCCGAAGCAACGGCTGCGAGTTGGCGCTTGCGCCCACTATTATCCCGGGCTTCGATCCCTCTGTGGTGGGGGTGAACCGGACCTCTCACTGCGGACATGTCCTCCGTCAGTGGACAAACCCGTCAAAGGAAATTTCTTTCCTTTCATCTACTTATTGAGAAGTTGATTAGAACCTGCTTGACCAGTGGTCACAGAGAGATTAGAATTTGAGAGATCTTTCCGTGCTTTGCGCAATCGAGCAAACTTGAAGTTGATGTGCACCTAGGCAATTCGATGGCTCTGGCTGCTCAGAAGGGAAGGCCGATCCGAAGACCACATGGGGACCCTGACGTCCCCCATCATTTAGTGCGAACCCAACTGAATCGAGAGTGCGCTAGCACTTGACACCACTATCTTAGTGGCGGTAGTGGATAAGTAAGAGGTGTGGCCGATAGCATACTGATAGCGGATGCTGCACTAATTAGGTGTCAAGAGCAACCTCTACTCATGTAGAACCTAGAAACACGCTTACAAGAGGTCTAATCAACGCTTTTGTCAATGTGTCTATGTTGATAACTCGTGAAATCGACGGTGAAGTGGCTAGAGGTCTCTCATGTGAGATGTCGCTCAGAGAACATTGCGAAGATTATTGTACAGAAGTGTGCTTGCTACCACACCTAAGCCTCACATTAAGAAATACAAGTTACCGCGAGGCGTAGCATCGCATCCTGAAATATGTCACAGGTAGCCCAAGGCTTTGACAACTTCCCTCCATGACTGACAGCGCGTGGCTCTTTTGACGAACACGTTTACGTCATTAGAGTGGGTGCAACTTGCTGTAATCAATGTAGATCTCTTTCATAGATAGACTTGTGATCTGTACTGCCCCTGATTGATCAATCAAATACACGAGTAATTTCAAACATAGGCAACATCTTAGAACAACTGCATGTTGACCGGCCCCTAACCAATATAACGAATGTTGCTCAACTGCCGAGTTCTTTCGTTCGAATGCGTCTCTATGGGCGTGTAGCTCTCTTTTTATCACATAGCTATTGAATAACTTTCCAGTCTGAAATCAATCAATGATGGAGCGCGAACATTTATAGCGCTTTCATGTTGAATTGGCTCTCAGCCTTGCCTAGCTGGCCAAACAAGAGGAAGTGACGACTAGAATGGCCAACCTTGTCAGAACGTTGCTTGAGATGGGATAAAATACGTAAATTTTATTAGCATTGGAGTCCTATAGAGCTTATCGACTTCCTGGACTTATCCTTTTAGGAAGGGTTTGTGCTGTTTTAGCGAAGGCGTCCCTGAGTGCTGGTGGAAGGGATTGAATACAGAGGTAGCACATCGGAACTGGAGCACCTGGAGAGTGAGATGCCCAATCACCACAGCCGGCAAGGGCCGAGAAGGTGTTTGGAAAGGAAATGCGGAACTGCATATATGCCTCAGGTGTTGGCTGCCTAAGTCTGCCTGTCGCCTCATGGATGTTGTATTGATATGTGGCGCTGGGCACACTCGGTGTCATGCAGTCGACAAAAGATCCCTGTCAAATTTTGACCCAATAATCGTGCACTCTCAAGTCCAGGTGTTCCTGCATGGGTCTTTGGTATTGCTAGTCGGTGTGCCACAGAGCCTTGTCTACAGGACACTTTGAAAATATAACTTAAAGGCCTCTCCTTCCGAACCAGACTCCGTCGTCCTCTCGACTTCGGTTGTCGTTATAACGCCTACCCTCATTCTTCTCATCTGTCGCCTGCCGTACACAATGGACCTAACTAAGACGAAGGGGGTACCTTCGATCTGGCCTTCTGGGTCGGATTCTGACCAGAACATGTTCGATCAAATCACCAACGATCCGTCATTTCAAATGCTGTCGGAAACTGTGTTTGATGCGCTACTCGCGAATGATATTGCCAGATCGCAAAATAACCAGTTGGCTAGTATGATCACCTCTGTTCATGAGAATTATGTCGAATCAAGCCCAATAGACCTACCTTGGAGGCCATCCCATGCTGAAGATGCTTTGTCATCCGGTATTGTTGACACTAATCCCCACGATATTCCGCGAAGTCACCAAGGAATTTTAACGCCTTTGCATTATTTACCAACAACACCCATCCGCAATCGTCCACAAGAACAGTATGTTAAGCCAGAAGACTGGGACAAAGCACGTCCTATCATCACCGAGCTTTACAAGAAGATGTCACTAGACAGTGTGATGAGAGAGATGGAGAAGCGATCTTTCTTTGCAAGGTAAGTTCACACCCCTCTCTTCAAAAGCATCCCGCTAACAGTGTCGATAAGTAAGAAAATGTTCAAGACTCGGATCGAAAGATGGGGCATAGAGAAGAAACTCAAAGCTTCCGAGGTGCTGGCAATAGTACGTTTTCGAAAAGAATATCCTGAATCCAACCAACCCACCGAGTTCGTCATTCGCGGAAAGAAAATCTCTTGGTCTGATGTGCAACGATACTTGAGACGAAGCCGGAAAACTATCACCCAGCTTGAAGCTGATGCGTCTCAAAGATGTAAATCTGTCCCGACCATCGACTGCCGAATTCACTTTCCTGAAACCAAATCCTCGAGGTTCAAGGCAGAGCCTCTCACAGCTCTTGATTTACCCGAAGACTTGAAAATGTATGAGATGCTATCCACGCTATTCCCGAGATATATCGCCGGGGCTATGGAAAGTGATACATGGTTGCTTGACGATGATCGAATGGACTTCTTCGGCCGATACGGATACGCAGGCTACGAACAGCTTACACGATGGACTACCGGCTTACTACAAGCTAGCATAATTCTCAAAGGGTATCGATCAAACCATAGCTTTGCCCTTATCAACCATTGTCTCGACAGAACAGGCCAAATTATTCGAGAAGAAGACCCGGACATACTTCTTCGCATGTTACGCGTAGTGATTAATCTCTACGTAAACGACCCTTACATTGGCAACGAGGTCGCCTCATTCTTCAAGAAGATGACTATGGAGTTGTTGCCCAAACAGCATCCTATAAGAGTCTTTTGGCAACAGTGGGACCATCTCCAGAATCTCGATTTTTTTGAAGTCTTTACACGAATTTTTCGGCCGTATGTTGACTTCATTATACACACTTTACATCCGTGCTCTCCCAACATTCTAGCGGTGACTGATAGCTATCTTACGTTCTGTCATGCTCTTCCCGGTGTCTCGTTCAAGAAGATAGAGCTAGAAACTCGGTCAATTCTCGCACGGCTTCTGCAAACTGCCGGAATCAGCGAAAACTCAATCTTGACTTTGAAACTATGGTTAGCTGAGTCATTATTTGAACAACGAATCGACTCGTCTGAAGCCATGGAATTGATGGAATCAGCAGAGATATGGTTATCTGATAAGAACGACACGAGTTCACAGATAGAATGGCTCCGTTATGACATATATCGGGTAAAAAGTTTAATATGTCATGTGGCGGCGGACTGGCAGAGTGCTTACGACCTTGCGTGCAAATGGGCACATCATTTTCAGGAAACACGTGGCCCTACAGACTGGGCAACTTTGGTATGCTATGAAGACATAGTGGAATATGCCAGGGAGCTTTGCGTGGAAGGGTTGGAGCAGCACGAGCTTGAGTATGACGAAATGATCAAGCAATTCTCTTCGAAGCTCTGGCTGGACGACTAGAGAGAGGACGAGAGAGACAGCAGCAATGAAATGGATTGATGAGCTAAATAGCCATCTAGTTTCTATATTTGTTTCTTGGTATCTCAATTGAGATACTCAAACCAGCCAGAGGCTCAAAAAGTAGTTCCCAAAAATATTCCCATCAATTCACCACGATGCTTTGACCATTCGACTTGCTGAGAAGTCACCTCTTCGTCCTCTTTTGCATTTGTTCTCGAGGACTTGGTAAGCTAACCTTCGGAAATCTATCATCAGACTTCCAGGGCATGAAGTCGCTATTTTCTACAAGCCATTTTAAGACGTCTTGTTCAAAGTGAGCTACAAGGTCCTCGTTCGCAGGGTCCGCAGCCAGATTGTGCATCTCGTGTGGGTCGTTGTGCCGATGATATAACTCCGCAGGCTCATATAGACGGTAAATGTATGTCCAGTTTAAATCTCTCAACGCTATAGCCTTCCCCACGAGTGACGTATCCTCGTGTTGTAGCGCGGCTTTGATGTCATATGGATATGGCGCCTGTTCTAGGAGCGGCTCTTCTGAAATGAGAAACCCTCCCTCTGACCACGAATACTTCTTATGCTCTTTCGCAGAACCGCATAATATGGGCACCCATGACTTGCCATTGTGTGCGAAATGTTCGCCAATGCCGGATATCTCAAACATTGTAGGTCCCAAGTCGACCATTTCTGCCATGGCATCTATCGTCTTCCCTTCTGGAAGTCCAGCTCCGCCGATAATGAGAGGCTCGTGAACTAATGAGTCGGATAGTCCTGATGGCCACTTTTCAATGAGGCCATGATCACCGAGATACTCTCCATGATCAGTAAAGAACATGGTGATGGTATCCTTCCAGAGGTTTAGATCGTCAATCTGGCGGATAACGCGGCCAAACTGGTCATCTAGTCGAGAGATCATACCGTAGTATGTGGCCTTGATCTCTGCCCAGATCTCGTCTGTTGCACGACCCGTGTCATACCTTTCTCTGATGGTTTTCATATATCGGGGTTCATATCCTGTCTTGAGCTCATGTTTTGCGACAATAGGAGCCATTTTCCCGCGATCGTACATAGAGAAATATGGCTCCTCAACCTGAAATGGGCAGTGTGGAAAAATCAGGGGCATG